CTGGCCCAGCCCAAGGGAGGTAAGGCACCCGCTGGAAAAGGGGAAAAAAATGGCGGACAAAACAAATGGCGGACAAAAAAATGGCGGACAGCCTTACTTGGCGACCCCCGTGAAATGGTCGATCGGCCCCAAATGGGGTCCCGACCCACAGGTTGAGAACCACTGAAATAGAGGCTTTATAATACGGAAGTCGAGATCACAAATCATCTAGCTACAAACATCTCCATCCGCAAACATTTATGTTTCTCTGACTACCAAAAGTGTTTGTGTGTATTGAGAGAGAAGGAGAGTTAATTATTTTTGAAGCATATGATTAGGACATTTGAAATAACAATTTAGAGGTTCAATTTATAGCAGGGGGAAAAAACAAAACAACCCACGCAGAGTTTAAATTGCCTATTATTCTCTTGTGCAGTGAAGTTAATTATGATGCTACGAATTTCTGTTTAGTACTGCTACAACAGCAATTACAAAATTAAATATTGTCTGTGATGTGCAAAAGTGTCACACAGAAGGCAGTGTTTACCTGAGTCAATTAAAAGACATGCCCTGTGAATTATAGTATCTTTCTTGATATACAACTGAATATTGGATTATTATTTTTTTTGCACTTTCAGAATCAATATAGGACAGGGGTGGGCAATTAATTTTCTCAAGGGACCACGTGACAAATTGGGACTGTTGCGGAGGGCCTATCCCAGTGATGGCGAACCTTTTAGAGACCGAGTGCCCAAACCGCAACCCAAAACCCACTTATTTATTGCAAAGTGCCAGGGCCACATCAGCATTGTGGTTCCTTCAGGGAGGGTGGAGTATGTGGCCCACTGGGTGGGTGTGGCCAGGGTGGTTACAGCAGACTGGATGGGTGTGGCCAGGTAGGCATGGCCACCTCGATGCTCTAATACCTCTACTCAAGCTTGCTAGCCGGCCATTTTGCCTGCTTTGTGCTGGGCAGAGCTGCTGCTCCAGGCAGCGGTGGCGGCCTAATGGACCTGCGCGAGCTGCTAGTGGCGACGGTGCGTGTGCCCACAGAGAAGGCTCTGAGTGCCGCCTCTGGCACGCGTGCCATAGGTTCGCCACCACTGGCCTATCCAATAGGGCTAAGGTGCATAGGCATGCATGCATGCACATACATAATCTGGGGTCAAAAAACAGCAAGTGCCTTCAAAATAAAAGCAATGCAGTTGTATTGCTTGCACGGCATACACTCATTTACATTTGATTTCTAATTTCTAATTGAGGTCAACCACACTGGACAGGGACAGCCAAAGGGCCAGGTAGGGCCCAGGGGTCATAAAAGGCCCAGCTCTGATCTAGGAGAACCAGGGTTTAGGAGAAAAGTGACTAAGAAAGAAGACCAAGGGGTTTCAGAAAGAACTACCTCTGCCTAGAGGGAAATCAGGACCAATGAAGAGGCAAGGAAAGCTTTAATTTCATATCTCTTCTTGGGATCTCAAATCAGGCAAGATCATCGTTTCTTCCTGTGGGGCATTTCTGAACAAGGCTCCTGCTTTCCTGTTGCTAATGGTAGTTTGTTCTCTCACCCAGCTGGCCAGTGACAAAAAATACCAAACAATCTTTAAGGGGCCAGGTACTCTCTACACCAGTGGTGGCGAACCTATGGCACGGGTGCCAGAGGCAGCACTCGGAGCCCTCTCTGTGGGCACACGTGCCGTTGCCCCAGCCTTGCCTCCCCCCCATGGCCCTCTCCTCACCAGCAGCCCCACTGGAGGAGAGTCGCCCTTGAGCGTGGCACATGCAGAGCAGCGCAGCCAAGAACATGGCAGCCAGGCAGCGTAGACAAGAATCTGGCCTCACGCCTCATCGTGCACAGTTGATGCTACGGGGCGCGGGCAGAGGGCGTGGCCGCCATGGCGCTGCTGGGCTGCCTGGGCGATCTGTGGCGGGCCCTGGAGGTGGTGAGTGGCCCTGCGGCAGGCGGGATAGGGGCAGGGCAGGGGCAGTTTTGGGACACTCGGTCTCTAAAAGGTTCGCCATCACTGCCCTACACCTTACCTTCCTGTGCCTGATGAGATGTAAAATGACAGCAACACATCTGGAGGTTATGACAGCTAGCTTATTGAAATGTCAGGTTAGTGCTGTGAAGGGAAGCTGTTTTCTATAGGAAAGTGAGGAGGAACTTTAAGAAATGTTTCGTTTTAGTTTGTATTTATTATTATTATTGCTCTTAAAACTTTCAATAAAGATTATATTAAAAAAGAAATGAATCCAGGACCACGAGCTCACTTAATTCTGGGGCTCAAATTTAATACTATTAAACTGGAAAAGCTACAAAAGGATGCAACTATAGTACTCAACTTCCTTTTAAGGAAACACTTGGGTAGATAGAGGCATGTATAGAGCAGGGGTGCCCAAGTCCCGGGCTGCCGCCCACTACCAGGTCACGGCCTGTTTCAAACCGGGTCACGCAAGCGATGGGCAAGTGCGCACACGTGAAGCTTCACTCGCGTGAATGGTGGGTCCTTGCACTCATGCACAAAGCTCCACTTGCGCGAGCAGAGGGCACTTAAGTGGAGGGCGCTTGTGCTCATGCGTGAAGCTCCATTCAATGTGAATGGAGCTTCACAAGCGAGCACTCTTCATGCACTCTACTCAAGTGCCCTCCACTTGTGCGAGTGGAGCTTCGCATGCGAACACAAGCGCTCTCTGTTCACGCGCAAAGCTCCATTTGTGCAAGTGGAGGGTGCGTGTGCCTGCCGCTTGCACTAATGGAGCTGTGCACGCACACGTGTGCCTGTCACTCACACACATCCCGCGCCGGGCCAGGTCGCCAAGGTTGGGGACCACTAGTGTAGAGTACCAGAATCATGGAGTTGGCAGGGACCCCAGAGGTCATCTGATCTAACCCCTGCTCTGGATAGGAACCCCCTAGAGCAGTGGTGGCGAACCTATGGCACGGGTGCCAGAGGCGGCACTCAGAGCCCTCTCTGTGGGCACGCGTGCTGTCGCCCCTGTCCTAGGCCTTCAGCTGGGTTTTATAAAACCTTTTCGCTTTGGCCTCCGCCGCCGTGTGCAAAAAAAAAAAAAAAAGGTTCAGTCAATTTCAACTTCTTGCAGGAAAAAAAAAGATCTTGCAAAGTTGGAATTGATTGATTGAACTTTTTAGTCCCACCCAGTCTGCTGTTACCACCGCAGCCACGCCCAGCCAATGGGCCACACCCAGCCAATGGGCCACACCCACCCAGCACTCGATGATGCATAAGTGGGTTTTGGGTTGCAGTTTGGGCACTCGGTCTCTAAAAGGTTCTCCATCACTGCCCTGGAGCAGTGTTTTACAACCTTGGCATCTTTAAGATCTGTAGATTTCAGCTCCCAGAATTCCCCAGCCAATTCCACACAACCATATAGATGCCAAGACTGAAAAACACTGCAATGGAGCATCTTTGACAGATGAGCAACTGTAGTGCCCCAAATTGGACACAATGTTCCAAATAGATCTGAGCAGGGCAAAATAGAGTAGAACCATTAATTTCCATTAGTTACCGTATTCTATGCAGATGATCATGAACCCTAAAATAACATATGCCTTTTAAGCAGCTGCATCATGCTCTGGCTTTGATTTTAACCTGCAGCAGGCAAACTTCTCTCCCTCTCTTATCAAGTGAAGTTGAATTATGAGACATTCTGAACATAAGCTTGGGCAGTTTTAAAAGGGGATTAGAAAAATTAATAGACAGAAAAATGTCAGTATTCATGATAGTTGCACGCCTCCTCCAGGATCAAAGCCAATATCCTTCTCAGTGCCAAATGCTCAGGAATACAGGATGAATGGGCTTATACTGAAAAACCTCTGTTGATGTCTATTACTTCTATTACAAAAACAGAAATCTGGACTGAATAGAATAGAATAGAATAGAATAGAATAGAATAGAATAGAATAGAACTGGAAGGGACCTTGGAGGTCTTCTAGTCCAGCCCCCTGCTCAAGCAGGAGAACCTATACCATCTCAAGACAGGTCCCTTCCAACTTTACTACTACTACTACTACTACTACTACTACTACTACTACTACTACTACTATTATTATTATTATTATTATTATTATTATTATTATTATTATTATTATTATTTGCCAAAGCCCATTTTCCTTGCATAAGATGATGGAAGGAACAGGTGGAGGAGCTAGCAGGGAAAATCCAGCCTATGTGCAGAGTAAAATGGTTAATAGCACAGAATCTGTTATGATGTTGATAAAGATAGGTTAGTCCGGGTCAGCTTAACACACAAAGGCCTTGGTTTCCTCCCTCCTTCTTTCAAATTGGTACCAAGTTATACTTTCGATATGACACAGAGGGAGGGGAATACGAATGAATGCATGACTTCAAAGTAATCCTATCAGCTGTTTATTTTTAATTGAATTTAAAAGAAAATGAAAGTAAAATTGTCATGGGGAAAATAGAAGGCAGGAGTATTAGGTGAGTTCGCCAATTTGAATTCAAGAAAAATGAATGAATGAATAAATGAATGAATGAATGAATGAATGAATGAGCAGGACAAAAGTCTAATCATCATCATCATCATCATCCTTAGTATTGCATTATAGTGTTTGGACCATGTCCTCCAGCAAACTTCTTAAAGGTCATGAGGGATCATCAGCTTGAAAAACAATATGACTGGGAATTATGGGAAAACCTGAGTGACAAATTGCCTGGGAATTCCATTCAAAACCATGTGAATTACATGCATGGGATATAGCCAAAGTGAAATCCCCGAAGGTCAATATGTTCTATTAATTTTTTTCAGAGAAAATATTAGGTTGTTCAAAGGTCATGCATCAAACAAATAGGTAAATCTTTAGAAGAAAATGGCAACGCATTCAAACCTTTAACCTAATTGATATAACAAATTGCCTATGGGCCCCGACTTTTGGTACACCCTGTATAGATTTACATCCATATGCAATAAATGTGATGTCGTAAACCACCGAGAGTCACTTAGATGAGATGGGTGGTGTAGAAATTTAATAAAAGGGCACTTACTGCTGAGAGCTGGACACAGCTAGAGCTGACATCATACTCGATGTAGGCCACCTCCCTGCCATCCTCCGTTTTCCCGTCCTTGGTATAACAAAGGTCCCTGGTCTGAGTTATGAAGTGATCAACTTCCTCCATGGGATAAACACAGAGTGCAGATTCCTCACTCAGCTTCCCCAAAGAAGACTGCCAGGCAGAAAAAGTCACAAAAAGTGCATCTCCCACGTGTCCTTCTCCCCCTGCCTGTGCCACGTAGGCTGCCTGCAAGAGGCTATAGGTCTTCGTTGGGTTCCTGCAGACCAAGGGCAGCTCTACATAGGAATAATAGTGGGCATCGTCCAGACAGATCCGGGAAATGTACGTCTTGTATTCCCGGGACTGCGACTTGAGATCACGCCGGTAGAACAGGAAATAGACACTGGAACCATGAGTGAACGACTTGATAAAATGGTGGCTATATTCGGAGAGTCGACCCACAGCCAACTTGGCTGTTTCCTCGTAGGAAAAGATGGAGTGAGAGTCGGGCCCTGGCACCTCTCCTGGGTGGGCCCTGAGATTGCGAGTTGTGATGGGAGGGATGCTGCCTCCCACACCCCGACTGGTGTATCCTCGGCCAACAAAGAGAAGTGGCACATTTTCTCTGGAGTAACCTATCAGCCCCACGGTGGAAATATTGGGGTCATTGGCTACCACATATTGAGTGTCTCCTGGTGTCCGGGGTTGGAAGAGGACATGTTTAATGAAGCCAAGACTCCTCTTCTCACAGATTCCCTGCCACACACTGCCGCAAACAATGAGTTCCTTCTCCAGCGAGTTGATCAGCAGGAGTTTGATGTAGTTGTCGGTCTCCAGAGCTTGGGGACAATCCGGCTTGAAAATAGGAGGAAGACAATCTTTGCTGTCCAAGATCGGGCCCATGGAAACCGCTTCTTCTAACACCAGGTTTGGGGTCAACTGAAAAAGGAAGTTTGTAGCCCCCAGATACAGAGTTCCTGAATCGGGATCCATAATCAAGTGAATAAATTTGGTGGCATTGTGTGAAAAGGTGGGGTACCGTAGTTCCTGTGGAATGGCTGGTCCCAGGAAACACAGAACAGGGAGAAGGAATGTCCCCAGAGGCATCATACTTATCCTACAAGAGAGAAGATGGCAGAGGTAAGGTTATTTTTTTTGAAATTTTCATAACACAAAGAGGCTGTGAGATTGATTTTTTTTAATATTCCATTTTGCATTTCCAAAAACAAAGGAGATTATGCTCATTCGTAAGTTTTTACGTATTATCTGCCATCTCCTTGGAGATAAAGCTCCTTTGGGCATTTTAAAAGGAAAAAAGAATATAAATGTAATCAATACAATTTACTAGATATAAATGTAATTATCACTGCTACACTCTAGGCCCTAAAGCACAATTATTTCAAAGCTGGAGGATTAAAACCATACCACGTGCAATTCTTACCTTGCAGCAGTAATTCCAACGGATTATAATGTTCAAATCTAACTACATCCTCCATATATTGGATCAAAATAATCAATAGGAAAGAGTAATTGTCAAACCATATGCAGCTTTTTTTCTTCCTTGAAAAAGTCAGAATCACAGATTTACCACCTATTCCCAACTCCTAATGTGTGCATCTAGTTCTAGTCATTAGTCCTGCATGGAGGTTGAGAAGTTAAGAACAAAAGCTGAAGCACATTCATATGTGAATTATTATATTTGCACATTTTCTTTTGAAAGGCTGCATGGTATTGTACAGGTAGTCCTTGACTTATAACAGTTCATTTAGTGACAGTTCGAAGTTACAACAGCACTAAAAAAAGGGACTTACGACCGTTTTTCATACTTATGATGGTTGCATCCCGACGGTCATGTGATCAAAATTTAGATGCTTGGCAACTGATTCATATTTATGACTGTTGCAGTGTGTCCTGGGATCACATGATCCCCTTTTGCGACCTTCTGAGTCAATAGGGAAGCCAGTTTCACTTAACAACCGTGTCACTAACTTAACATCTGCAGTGATTCACTTAACAACTGTGACAAGAAATGTGGTATAATGGGGCAAAACTCACTTAACAAACGTCTCACTTAGCAACAGAAATTTGGGGCTGAATTGTCATGAATTGAAGACTGCCTTATAGGTATATTTTATTTATTCTAAATATAGGATGGGTAGTCTCTGGAAGAAAATCACATAATAATTTCACACTCTAATTTATCTTTCTCATGCTGTTACCACGTTTTCTTAGTAAACCAGATCACGTCCCCATCCGTTGGAACCGAGAAAATACTGAGCACCTGAAGTTGAGGGTCTTAAGGACTCGGTTGTACCGAGTCGAACCTTTGGAGAGGGAAAGGGGAGTCGTACCGACCGAGTCCTTAAGACCCTCAACTTCAGGTGCTCAGTATTTTCTCGAGAGGTTGCCTACGCCTGGTATAGTAGTTAAGGTGCTGGTCTAGAAATCAGGAGATTGTGAGTTCCAGTTTCTGCCCTAGGCAGGAAAGCCAGCTGGGTGATTTTGGACCAATCATTCTCTCTCAGCCCAACCTACCTCACAGGGTTGTTGTTGCAGAGAAAACAAGGGGAGAAGGAGTATTATGTATGTTCACCTCTTTGCATTACTTATAAAGTAATAAAGGCAGGATAAAAAACAAACAAATAAAAACAATAAAACAAACCCAATTAAAACAGAATTAACTTATGTGTCACTTTTTCTCAGCCCAACCCACCTTATGGGATTGTTGGTGTGGGGAAAATAGGAGGTGGAGGTAGTATTCTATATGTTTGCCACCTTGAGTTATTTATAAAATAATAAAGGCAGGATAAAAATGTAATAAATGAGTAAGTAGATAAAATGCATAAACTCATTTTTATTATTTTCCCTCTGATTACAAGATACTTTTTCTCTCTTTCAAGCAACGTACATTCCACTAATAATATCTAAACTTCCCATGTAAACAGGAAGGATAAGAGCCAGTAAAATCTAAATCCAACTAGCCACCAGTTAATCTTTACTGATTACAGCAAAGGAGTCTTGAACTAAAATTTGCAAAGCCAATGAAAATATAAAGAAACCGGGGTGGTCTTGCTCCACATTTACTGTTCCCATCCCCCACCCCCGACTTTGGCTCTGCTAGCTAGGGCTGATGGGAATTGAAGTCCAACATCTTGAGAGCCACAAAATGGTTGTACGAGACCACATAATGGTTGGATTTATACACTAAACTAAACACAATAAAGGGGGGGAATGCTCTGTCCATATAACAAGCTGTGTCTGAAAAATTGCTCTAATATAGGATCGTGACTGCATTCTCAAAAAGTGGGTCACGACACACACACACACATCCTAGGAATTGCAAGCAATTTAGAGGGGACACAATTAAAGGGATTGGCTAGCACAAACAAAGCAGTAGCGTTGTCAAAACTCATTTGGGGCTTTGCCCTCAACTTTGACTGCACAAGCTTCTAGCCGTGTGTGTTGCAATACTGCAAAGTTTGAGAATACAAAAACTATTTTTTTTAAAAATTATTAGAATTATCTGGTATGCTTATTTCTTGGCCAGCTCTAGCCCCAATGAAACCATGCCTTCTGCTCATGAAAGAATCACACACAGTCATTTTCCTTTAAAGGGGTTTAAAGTTTGATAATCCCTATCCTGATTTGATGGCCTAGTTCACACAATACGTTAGGACAATGTTTGGATTCACACAACTCATTGATTCAGAAACTATCTAATCTCTTTTCGCTCTAATTTAGTACAGAAAGTCTTCAACTTACAACCACAGTTAGGAGCAGAATTCCCGTTGTTGAGCAAGTCACTGAGTCGCACCCAATTTTATGGCCTGTTTTGCCACAGTTGCTAAGTGAATCACTACAGTTAAGTGAATTACCTGGTCATTAAGCGAACCCAGCTTTCCTCATTGACTTTACTTGTTGAAAGCCAGCTGGGAAGGTCACATGACCATGGGGACGCTGCAGGGGTCGTCAGTGTGAGGACTGGTAATAAGTGACTTTTTTCAGTGCCACTGCAACTTGAAACTTTCACTAAGTCGAGGACTACCTGCATGTTGTACACACCCATCCACCACTAAGTCAGATTTATATTAATGACCAAAAGATAAAAAAGAGAAATAATAGACTCCACTGAAATAAGAAAGCAATTTACTCAGAGACGGGGCTTGCCAGAGAAGAGTGGGAACAAAAAAGAAAGAAAGAAAGAAAGAAAGAAAGAAAGAAAGAAAGAAAGAAAGAAAGAAAGAAAGAAAGAAAGAAAGAAAGAAAGAAAGAAAGAGAGGGGGGAGGGAGGGAGGGAGGGGAGGGAGGAAGGAAGAAAAAGAGAGAGAAAAAGAAAGAAAGAGAGAAAGAGAAAGAAAGAAAGAAAGAAAGAAAGAAAGAAAGAAAGAAAG